GTGAAAAAAATATAAACAACCGAACACAATATTAGCTTGAGTTACTAACCTCTTTTGTTCAGCAACAAACGATATACTTTTCAGACGTCTACTTGTTTTATCCAACTGATCCATAGTTTTCTGGAATCTATCAGCTAGTTGTGACATTTGCAGATCGATCACAGTCTCTTCGCGATCAATTTTTTCATCGACTAGGCATTCCTCTAGCATCGCGCGCAAAAATTTTCCATAGGCAATTTGGCGGTATTCAGCATCAAAATCCGGGAACCCTTGTTGTTCCAACTTTAAAATTGTTGCATCAGGATCAACTGATGTCATGTTCGCTGTATTTTTCTTCGTTCGAGGTACATTTTTATTGTCTTTAGTAACGATTTTTGTTCGCGATGTCGTTGGCACGCTCACAGTCGTCGGACGCTTAGCTTTGACCGTTGTTTTCGATGTTACAGCCGATATTTTCGTTTTATCGGCCATTTTTTGGTATTTAAAATTGTTTTGTTACAATTTATTTACGATTAGCGTTCAATAACAGTTGAAATTGAATGGATTGACGTTTGATTTAAATGGCTGTCATTGTCATGGCAACCGTGAGATCCAGTTTCGTTCGGAAATTACAAAAAAGCTTGTTCAGATTTTCTCACAATAAATCTTTTTATTCTTGATAATATACTAGAAAGTAACATCATATTTGGTATTATGTGTATCCATCATTATAATCATATCTATTTAAAGTATCACAAGTACTAAATCGTGACACGAGTATTCGCTTAACAACACGATAAGTTAAGTTTAATGATTAATTTATAAATGAATCACAAGAACAGCACTAAATAAATAAAGCAACTTACGCAAAGATAACGTCTCTAAAAAAAGCTCAACACGTTCAAAGGTCCATTTCAGAACGAATTCGACAACACAAAAAAATCAATCGACTTTTTTTATTTTTAGACCTAGGTCAACAAGTCAAAATTATTAATTCAAATAAAATCAATAAATCGAGATGATAGGGCGGGAATTAATAACTATTTGAATTATTAATTTACTTTTACATAACAATATTTTCCCACGGTCTTTGTTATGCATAAAAGGTTATAAACTATTATTTTGTCTCATAACACATTCATTGTTCTGGGAAATCAGTTAAACATAAGCAGCCTACAAGATTCTTATTGCATATTTGCATTTCATTCCGCAGATTTGAAGACAAAAGAACTTTAAAAATAGGTTTCAAAAAGAAAGGTCACTGACCTTTTGACTTTTAAAATATTCAAGTATTTTTCATTCCTATAAAAAGCTAATTAAACTTACAAGACACAACAAAAATATTTCTTTTACTTCTCGTTACAAAATTTCATAATCATCGTACGATTACAAAGAAAATATGTATGAAAATTGAGTAAAAACATACCATTCTCTGTATACCAGCTACCAGCGTGCGAAGCATTGCGACAGGACATCTTCGTGTTAATCTGAACAATCAGATTTAATAATGATTAAAATATAAATAAATAATTAAAATGCTAACTTTCACAATCACAAAAATAATACTTTGACTTGACGTTGATGTAAATACACCACAGACAATCTAAAATTCTGTTTATTTTTTCTTTATTAGGATGTGCGTTTACAAAGTTGTTATTACAGTAAATATTTATAGTTTACGGTCTTGTTTTTCTTCGATTCAATGTCATTCATAGTATCAAAGCTTAAATAAATAATAACTTACATTTAATTTCTTGGAATTTGACATACTTGTTGCAGTTAATATAATGCATGTCAAAAGTTTAAACATTTTATTGTATTTTTGTATTCTCGTAAGGACTACGTTCTAACACAAAAAAATATTCACAATATCCCCAAAATAAGTGTTTTTACTAAATCGTTGCTGCTAACAAAATATAAAATTTTACTATGTTAGATGCTTGCTACGTACGGTTTAAATAAAAATTTCTTGAAAATTAGACTTATTCGCAGTTAAGTCGATCTTAACATTTACGGTTTTTCCACACACTGATTGAACGAATGGTAATTATGATGAGAACGACTACCGGTTGTCCGAATCATTCACCATTCAACCACTTGTCAAAATAATAATAATTTGTCAATGTCAATACTCCGGTACGGAGTGAGTGCGCGGAAATTAGCGATAAAATTCCAATTTTAATGAATCAAATAAACTTATTGCATTTATTTTAAAACATTCGCGCTTTTTTATAACAATTTATTTATTCTTTTATAAGTGTCTATCAACAAAATGCTACAATCTATTTGTGAGTATCGAAAACGTACAAACATTTTCATTATTTATTATTTGATAAATTGGAAATTAACATTCACATCCTCAATTATGTTGGAAATTAACGTTCCGTTGTTTGCAATAACAGCTGTATCAATAACTGTTTGATAAAGTTCGATAAGCTTAGTTTACAAAAAGGACCTAAAAAAAATTATTGTTATGTAAAAATTTCGTAATGTAATTCTTTTTATTTGAATATTTTTAGTATTTTATGTCGTAATTTAAGATTTACTATTTTTGTAGAAATTATATATTTAGAATAGCTACTGCTTTAGCTAACTTTAGAACTTTGATCAAAATTATTTACGAAGTTAGTGATTTTTATCTTATTAGAATAAATATAACATAACGTCACCACGCCTTTTATCCCCGAAGGGGTAGGTAGAGGTGCACGTTACGGCACTTACTGCTACTGTACAATGTAACACCCAGTTTTCACTATTTATGTTATGAGTCCCACATTGTGATAGGGGGTGAGTCTATTGCCATATACCGGGCACAATTCAAGACTCCGTGCTACTGCTGACAGTTTTAAAAAGGCCACTAACATATTGGCCCACCCGGGAACTGAAGTTGCGAACACTTGGCCAACAAAGCACTCATAGAATAATTATTCATAATTATATTATAGATGACTTTATTAGCTCACATACTGTTACAGAAATACATATCAGGTATTTGTTTGTTTTTAAAAGAAACCTGAACTAATATTCTTCTACTTTTACTTGCTTGTCCAGTGTGGTTTCGTCGGCTGCTCAGGGGTCGTTCATGTATTACGTAAGCACGACGGGGGATGATGCCTATGTTTTGCTTATTTTGGATGATATGGGGGGTAGAGGAGTCTAAATGATGATCACGTCATCGGTACTTATTTACTTTTTTACACGAATGGCAACCCTCATATTTAAATTATAAACTACAAGCAAAGACCGACAAAGAACTAGACATTATGGTATCTAAGATAATATTGATAATATATAATATATTAAAAATAAAATAAAAAAAAAAAAAAAAAAAAAAAAAAATAAAAATAAAATAAAATAAAATAGAATAATAGCAATAATGAGGAAATTGCTGGTAATGATAATAAATAAATAAAATTGTGCAAATAAAGAGTTGGTAGATATGTATAATGTGTATGTAGGTAAAATGTAAACGAAAATCAATTGAAGCAATCGTGGTAAAATTTTAATAATATGTTATGTACAATCTTTGAATAATATAGTGTTTTTTATTATTTAATATAAATTGCAGCGCCCTTACAGGGTCATGTTGATACTGCTTAACCAAAATCATATGTATTATGTATAACACCTTGGTACCCACACATGAAGCAATAAAGACTTTGAATTTGAATTTGAATTTGAATATTAAAATTACAATATAAAAGAGATATAATTTAAAATGTTTATGAAAGCAAAGGGGAGGGGGTAAGATCTTTGCTTACTTCTGCTGACGAAGGGGATGGGGGGGGGGTAAATAATTGTAAAAAATCTGCTTACGTAATATTTGAACGGCCCCCCAGAGGCTTTTAAAGTAATTGAAAGGAAACCGCGTATGTCACTTTGAGGGGTTGGTTCATTGGAGCCGGCCAATCACAGCGTCAAACACGGCCTCGTTTTGATTTCTTTAAAAATAAAACTAACTGGCATTAAACTCTCTGCTGCTATTGATCGTAATGTGACATTTTTGGACTCATCCATAAATTACGTCACAACATAAGGGGGAGGGAGGGGGTTGACGATGTGTGACATTGTGTGACAAGGGGGAGGGAGGGAGTCGACGAAGTAAGACATTGTGTGACAAGGGGGAGGGAGGGGGTCGACGAAGTAAGACATTGTGTGACAAGGGGGAGGGAGGGGGTCGATGAAGTGAGACATTGTGTGACAAGGGGGAGGGAGGGATCCAAAACTTTGTGATGTCACATTTCAAAAACTATTATTGTCTGCGTTAAAATACGAAATATAATTGTATTAATGTTTTTTATTTTGTTATTTGACTTGACATTAATATATTTTTAAAGTAATTTGAGTGGAAATAAAAATACCAATAGTTTCTATACTGTAATTCTGCAAAATGTGATGTCACACTAGGGGGGGGTGTCTCACAAATGTGACTAGCTATGACAAGGACGGGGGGAGGGGCAAAAAAATCATGAAATTCGTGTGACGTAATTTATGGATGACCCCTTTTATCTTAGATCCTTCCTTGTACAGATTACCATTAGATATTGCAAAAACTAGGGACATTTGTAAACCATGTTTTGCAAATCATGTTATTATTATTATTAATTTTTTTATACCACTACGGTGGCAAGAATAGCACACGGTCCACCTGGTGGTAAGTGGTTACCGTGGCCTTTAAACGCTTGCAACACATGGGCCATTATATCTCACTAACTTTTACCCGCGGCTTCGCTCGCGTCACAAAAGGATAAAAAGTAGCCTATGTGACATATAACAATACACACAGCGCCATCTATACCAATAATTTCGTTTTCCCTCGAGAATATCAAATTTTCCGGGATAAAAAGTACCCTATTATTTAATCCAGACTTCTAACTTCACGTCTGCAAAAATTCAAAGCAATCGGTTTAGTAGTTACGGCGCTAAAGTGGAACAAACAAGCAAACAAACTCACTTTCCGATTTATAATATTAAGTAAGGATACACGAGCTGCTGTTCAAATCTTTTTCCTTTAATTTCAGGTCGCAATGCCTTTACTCGCATATCCAGGACAGTTTCCTATGCAACTCGGATGGCTCACGACCAAGTCAGGAAACCAAAGACAGCTATAGTCATGTTAAATATGGGCGGTCCTACTAATATAGATGAGGTGAGTTTAGATGAATTTTTTTGCGATATGTTGTTCATTTCACTTCATTCATTACATGGGACTCATAACATAAATAGTGAAAAGTGGGTGTTACGTTATATAGTGGTGTAATATGCACCTCTGCCTACCCCTTCGAGGATAAAAGGCGTGATGTTATGTTATGTTATGTTATGAAAGTCGTTCAATTACTTCTTCCGCCTTGGTCGAGGCGGGAGGGAGTGTCAGACTCTTACTGACTAAACACCACCTCGTTCCTTCTCCTGCACGTCGAGCCGGAGCCCCGGTTACCCGTTAGGTTCTCCGCGGTGGTCTGATAACTCTTTGAGGTGCGCGCGGAACGCGAACGCTCTGGTCTGTTTCTGGTCCGTACGCTCGGGTCTGTTTCTAGTCGGACGGGGAGCCACCATATGTTTCTCTCCGTCTGTTTCTACTGTCTAATCTCTGAAAAGGCTAAAAGGCTGGGTTTTACAAGACTTTTATTGACAGACAGCTGATGTACTATGTACATACTTTTATTTTACAAAATTGAAACAAAGTAAACTTATTGTATAAAATTCATATTTTCAAAGTCAAAGTCAAAGCATTTATTTCAATTAAACCATACTTTACTTGGTACTTTTGAAACGTCAACAAATACAAAATGAATAATAGTCTGTCAGTCAGTCCGTCAGTGAAGCTAGGTGCTCATTCCAAAATGTAGATTCTACGCGAAGTCGCAGGCAAGAACTATAAAAATCAAAATGTTGATAACCCAATTGTCGATAAGGTTATCATCACTACATAGTAATGGGTCTTTCAAATAGAGCGGGTCGATGTTAATAATCTGTGGTGGCCATTTTGTTTTGGCGGCATCTGTCAAATCTAATTTTTCTTATTCAGCTGCTGATGCCAAATCACCATGGCAAGTTACACGGTTGAGCAGCATGTGCAAATGATAAAACTTTATTATCAAAATGAGTGTTCGGTAGTGCAAACGTTGCGCGCATTGCGCCCATTTTACGGCAGACGCGGTGGCCCTTCAAAGTCTACTCTCCAACGATTGGTGACTAAATTTGAGACTACCGGTTCGGTAAACAACCAACCGACACATTTACGTCAAAGGAACGACGATGGCGAGGCCATTACCGGCAACGGTGAGCGCTACAGATCAATGATAAACAATTTTTTTTTGCTTATATTGAACAATATGGACGTGAACGACATGTGGTTCCAGCAAGATGGCGCTACTTGCCACACAGCGAACGACACAATGGACATTCTGCATGAACGGTTTGAAGGTAGGGTTATCTCTCGCAGAGGTGACGTGAATTGGCCACCAAGATCGTGTGATTTGACTCCGCTAGACTTTTTCTTGTGGGGTTTTCTGAAGTCGCAAGCCTATGCCAATAAACCACAATCCACCGTTGCCCTGAAAGCCAACATAACGCAGGCCATCGCTCAGATTCAGCTGGATCTATGCAGCAGAGTCATTAAAAATTGGACCTCTCGGATTCGTGCCACCATACGAAGCCGCGGCGGACATTCGAACGATGTCATATTCCATCCATAATGGCATAAATGGAACTTTCAAATAAAAAAAATATTTAGTTAATATCTTACACACATCTTGTTTTATTCAATTTTAACATCGACCCGTCCTTGTTGAAAGACCAAAGACAAAGTCTCTATCCGCCGTCTGTCTGTCCCTATGTATGCTTAGATCTTTAAAACTACGCAACGGATTTTGATGCGGTTTTTTTTAATAGATAGAGTGATTCTTAATGAAGGTTTATATGTATAATACATGCATAATTCCCCTCTTGCGAAGCCGGGGCGGGTCGCTAGTTTCTAATAAATAATCATACGTCTATAATATTACTAATGTGACATTAACATGCCTTATGTTCAGTGCCATGCACGAATAACTATAGCATTTGTAATGGAATAGTATCGAGCACATTCGGCGCTGTGTGCTTACTCCTGAAACCAATCTCAATATCAATACAATTTCAATCCAATATGATCTTAATAATTATCCAATGTCAACACTATACAACCCCTATCGTAGCTGTTACAATAGCATTCAGAGTACGGAATATAAAACCAAACCCAATACCATTTAGTTCATTCAATATCCACGCAATACGGATATCCACGCAATAGGCGCTAGTTTTGTAAATCAAGAGTATGAAATTTCACAATGTCAATGTCGATCGATCGGAATTGGATTCAAGAGTAAGCCCCCTGGTATGAAACGGTAAAGTACCAATAATTTAAAGTTTGAACACGAATCTCCCTACGGCTAACGAAGCCAACACTAAATAAATAAATGCTATCTCAGTATGACAAACAAGATTATTGATATTAAACCATTGCATAATGTAAGCAAACAATGATTGGACAAAACGATGATAAGAATGTAATTTTATAACGATATAATAGATATATGTTTTATAAGGATGATTATATATAAAATAAATAAATAAACATGATGACTAAGTATGTCATTTGCTGTAAGGCCTCAACTGACCGTTAAAGTATTCTTGGTACACTATACGCAGGGCCGTGGTCGTAGACTACGCTGGGGCCCTTTTTCTGAGGGGGAAAATCATCCTATGACTTCTCCCGCCTTGGGGAAAACCACCCCGTTCCTACTCCTGCTCTTCGAGCCGGAGCCCCGGCAACTTTTTAAGCCTTTCGCGACTCCGTATCGAGCATCAGCCCCACTGGTACCCATGGCAGACCCCATCTGTGGTGGTCTGATGGTTCTATGAAACGCGCGCGGAACGCGACACGCTGTGCGCACGGGTCTGGTTCTGGTCGGGCGGCGAGCTACCCTTGCTCACCGTCCCGGACGTGCAGATCGTCGCGCGATCTCCCGGACGCTCAGAGTGTCACCCACGACGGGCATAAGGAGGTTCGTTCACTCACACGCCCTGCTTCCTTCTTGGCTAGCATGACTGCTTCGCAGGAGGAGGAGACAGCATCCCAATCCCCCTCGCTCCGTGCCATGGCCTGAACCAGAGCCAGACGCGAGAGGCCGCCGTCGCCGAATACATCCCTGAGGACAAGGATGTAGTCGGAGACTTACAGCTGCAATGACAGCGAGCCTAACGCTGGGGCACAATAATTGGGCCCTTTTTGAATGTTTCCTTTTTTTACGTTGCCTCACACTAGAATATTCTCCTGTATCGTGGGTGCGTTTACAAACATCCAAGTTCACATACAAATGACACCCAGACCCGAAAAAACAATTTGTGGATCACACAAAGCAAGGGCGGCAAAGGTGCAGATGTATTACAGCAGCTGCGCGCGTGTGGCGCCATGTCGCGGCATCATGTGGTATATTATTATGCGCCATGCCGTGGAATGCCTTAACATTCTACCAAAAACCCAGCTACTCTTCCATGACCGCTGCACAAGTTACAATCTTATTTCAACTGGCTTAGCAATCGTATTTCCTCGACTCAAAATGATCCATACATCTTGCGAAATGTTATAGCATGCTGTGGCAATCCGTGCAATGAAACGGCATGCCACGACTACCCATGGATGCCCGCAACACCAGAGGAACAGTTTTTGTAATAACTATCGTGAGACATACTAAATTAATTAAAAATGGCAGGTTACTAACGTGAATACGCTGAGAAAAGCTCTACTAATATGGAGCCACACAGGAACTGAGTAACCAGAGAAATTACAAGTATTTGTGTGCTTTTTGATCGGGGATTGTGTCTTCGGTAACTTCACTCACATACCTCCTCACAAACAAGCGTTATTCTACGCCAGTGTTCTACTCGACCGTGGTATCACTCCGGTCGAACCGTGCTAAACCATGGGTCTCCAAAATTGTACAATAACTAAGTTTTGTCCATGTTTCCAGGTAGGAGATTATCTTCATCGAATCATGACGGATCGTGACATGATACAGCTGCCGGTTCAGAGCAGACTAGGGCCCTGGATAGCGTCCAGGCGAACAGAAGATGTGCAGAAGAAATACAGCGAGATCGGGGGCGGATCTCCTATATTAAAGTGGACTAATAGCCAGGGTAGGTGCTATACAGTTTATGGATTTAAGTGTGATGTACAGATTGTACAGTTAGCTCTGCTTATGCCTTTAGGCTTAAGTCATTATGTCGCCAGCATAAAATTTACAGAAGAATGTGACAACTATCGTTTTTTCTTCTCCTCTTGTATTATCTTTCGATATACTTCGTTGCGGGAACCAAGACAGTTATTCATGTCTCTGAGACGCGCCGGACTTCAATGTTCCGGTGTTTTCATGGTTGTATCTACTGTAGATCCTGGCTTACAGGAGTTGCAGCGGTTTTGGGAGGTTGTGGCGGGCTTGTCCCATTACCCACAAGTACAGCACAGCTAATTACTATGCGAGTAAGAAAATAAAAATTGACTGAGTACAGAGACATTAGCTATTGTTTTTCTACCTCTAAATCATACAAGATGTAGTTTCGAAGCCGTGCCATTTCTCGGGGGCATGTCACAGAAGTCATAAAGGTTCAATGTAAGAGAAAATTTCGGGCCAGTAGTTAAAAATACGGCTATAATAAATAGTTCAAGTTCGACAGTATTTCAGAATAAGCGACAGCAATTGTTCTTATTGGAGTTTTATGGAATTAGGAATAATATTAATTACATGTTTGAGTTTGTGTGTGTTACGCCGCGTTATAAAGCTAGTTACAAGGCGGCGGCGTGTAGTTCGCAATTACGGATTTCTGTAATTTACAGAAAACTGAAAAATATTTACCTACAATTTTTTTCATTGATTCGGACTCAGAATCGATGTCCAAGCTACCTCCTAGAAAATAACGCGACTTTAAAACAACACCTTGTATAGTTTTTAACTCAGCCACATCTTCTGTAACCATGGGTCGCTTCAGTAGCCAACCAATGGTTACTGTCTCTGTACTGAAACAATCTTTATTTGGTTACCTGCATGCTAAATGACGATACGAACGATAAAAATTTGTAGAATCTAATAGAACTTTTGTTTATGAGCCCCAATTTTGAGTTGAAACTAGTCGAGTATACTCGAAAAGGTTACGTTATATCAGTGAATATAGTTAATTGTGTTATTCACTACATAGTATAAAACAAAGTCGCTATCTGCCATCTGTCTGTCCCTATGTATGCTTAGGTGTTTAAAACTACGTAACGGATTTTGATGCGGTTTTTTTAATAGATAGAGTGATTCTTAAGGAAGGTTTATATGTATAATACATGCATATTGCACCCGCGCGAAGCCTGGGCTGGTCGCTAGTTTAATATAGGACTGGTTGGTTGATTGGTTGGAAGCACGTCTCCCAAGCAAGGAGTATAGGCTTCGATTGCCAGGTAGGGCATAGAGTGGGTTGTTTTCAATTTTACAGCGGTTAAAGTATTTGGATTGTACAGCGAAATGTGAAACTCCTTAACCAATTCGGCACTAAATGGCCGATATTTTTACAAGACTTTAAAAGAATGAAAGATGTTTGTTAGAATGTTCTTCTTTTCATTACAATGGGGATGATGACAGGGTATGAAAATTAAAAATATAATTAGTCCGTAAGTTAGGTAATTAAAAAATATTAGAAACGTATTTTTTTATTTTGTCGTATAATAAAACAATACTTAGATAAAACGAATCAAAGTTTAGGAGTGGGGGCTAAAACGTCATTTCTTAGTATAAAATGTACTGAGAAGTGACGTCACGCGACATTTCAAATCAATATATCGTCGAAACTATTCGTTTTCGTAAGAAAATAAAAAATACGTGACTAATGTTTTTAAATAATCTACCAGACGGACATTAAAATAAAAATTAGTCGTCTACCCTATGTTGTTTCAGGGCATCTGCTAGTGGAAACGTTGGACAAATTGCACCCAGCGACGGCGCCCCACAAACACTACGTATGCTTCAGATATGTACCACCATTTACGCACGACGCGTTTAATGCTATCGAGAGGTACGTATAAACATAGTTTTATAATATGATAGCCAGTAAGCTAGACTGTCTGTACATGAGTCGATGTATCAGTACTCAAGGTACACCTCCAGTCATAGATCGGGCTGGGGTCGTAGATTAACGGCTCGTACATAAAACTGCGATGTGATGCGAATGACTTCTCCCTCCTGGGTGAGGCAGGAGGGAGTGTCAGACCCTTACTGACTAAAAACCACCCCGTTCCTTTTCCTGCACTTCGAGCCGGAGCCCCGGTAACTCGTTAAGTTCTCCGCGGCTCCGTATCGGCATCAGCGCTATTGGGCCCCATCTGTGGTGGTCTGATGGCTCTTTGAGGCGCGCTCGGAACGCAAAGCGCCGTACGCTCGGGTCTGGTTCTGGTCGGGCGGCGAGCCACCCATGCTCGCCGTCCGCAGGCCCGCGCTTACGGTGGCTGGAGATCGTCTTGCGATCCCCGACGCCCGAAGTGTCTAATAGTTTTTCATTATCTAACTGACGGACTAATTAGATTTTTAATTTTCTTACCCTGGAAACTACCCTATTGTATTGTGAACCTGATTGAAAAAAAAGTAACCTATGGAGTGTATCTTGCTCGTTCTTCTCCATAGGAATCTACACATTGGAATGAGCAAATAGCTTCACTTTTGATTTTTTGTTGACATTTTAAAAGGGCTTTCCTGGAGGCTTACTCTTGAATCCAATTCCGATCGATCGACTTTGGTATTGTGAAATTTCGTACTCTCGAGTTGCAACACTAGCGCCCATTGCATCCGTATTGCGTGGATATTGAATGAACTAAATGGTATTAAGTTTGGCTTTATATTCCGTACTCTGAATGCTATTTTAACAGCTACGATAGGGGTTGTATAGTTTCGACATTGAATAAATATTTTGATTTTATTAGATTGAAATTGCATTGACATTGAGATTGGTTTCAAGAGTAAGCACCCTGGTCTAATGAAATAAATGATTTTGACTTAGACTTTATAGATTAAGAAACGTCATAAACTTGATGTCTATTTATTTATTTATTTACACTTCTTGCACAATGGGTATACAATGGCGGACCTAAAGCCTATTGGCATTCTCTAACAGTCAACCTTAGGGTGATGCAGAGACACAATAGTAGGTGTAAACGTTTAACACTTATTAGAATGACACAATAATTAACATTACATATGATTAACATTATCTATTGACTATAAAATGTTTATTTTTATCTATATAATTTTGCAGTGACGGCGTGGAGAGGGCGGTGATATTTTCACAGTACCCACAATACAGCTGTGCTACAACAGGGTCCAGTTTGAACGCTATCGCAGACTTTTATAAGGATAGGTAAGATTTGAAACACTATTATCTTGATCTTGATTATCAGAGATATGCCAAAAGAACAAAGGCCTCTTCTCACACGGAGAAGGTTTGAGCATTAATTACCACGCTTCCTCAATGCGGGTTGGCGATTACAAACTTATAATTAGAAATTATAAGCCCAGGTTTCCTCACGATGTTTTCCTTCACCGTTTGTCAGTGGTGTCTATATAATCTTAGAAAGTACATATAACTCTGAATAAGTCACATTGTTACATGTCGTTTGTACTGGGTTTTTTAAAAATTCTCAGTAGTTGCACGGAGTCTGGAATTATGCCCGCTATATAGGAATTTTAAGGGGGAATCATCGAATGACTGCTCCCGCCTGCGTGAGGCGGGAGGGAGTGTCAGACTCTTACTGACTAAAAACCACCCCGTTCCTTCTCCTGCACTCCGAGCCGGAGCCCCGGTTACCCATTAAGCCTTCCGCGGCTCCGTAAAAAGTTAATTCTGAACAAAAATTATAGAGAATTTTGTCTTACGTCATCGTTAACTTAAGTAAAATCGCGGGTTACTCACGTGAATATACTGAGAGAAGCTCGACTAGTTTCGAACCACAGAGGGGTTCTTCCTCATAAGCAGCGTGCGCGGTCGCGGCGACGTCGAGCAGCTCACAGTGAGCTTTTCTCAGTATATCCACGTGAGTAACCCGCGATTTTACTTAATTTAGTATGTCTCACGATAGTTATTATACTTATTATAAAAACATCGTTAAAGTGTTTCTAAACACGCAATGTGATAGGAAATACACTATACTCGGAATTTTAATTCGATTCCAGATTTGACAATTTCAGTGTTGCAACGTTATGACAAGTACTAAATAGTGACGTTGCGAAATTATTCGATATGGAAATGGAATATTTCCGGATCGATTCTTTACGTTTATAATTTTACTCTCGTAAACTAAGTATATCAGGAAATTAAATATTTCTGAACCAATAATTTAGTTTTGACGATTAATTAACGATCTGAGACTTTTCTTTTATAATTGTGTGTGAAATAAATAAAAAAATGTAATCATGAAGGAACATGACAAATAAAACAGATAGATGTATTATGGTAATAAGTTATTTTATAAATTGTCGCCGTCATCGCTATCGCTATCGCTGTCACTTTCTGTAACATTTATTATAAAACACACACACTGATTGTTTATCGATTTTTGTGTGCATCACTACACTATTATATGTGGTATCATTATTTCACAAAATGACAGTAGCTATTGTCAAATCTGGAATCTAATTAAAATTCTGACTATAGTTTAACCAAATTTCTTTTCTTTGAACAGGGAAATACCAAAGAACATAAAGTTCAGTTTAATAGAGCGCTGGGCGTCACATCCCTTGCTAGCCAAAGTGTTTGCGGAGCGGATCAAGGAGAAACTAGCCGTATTCGATCCAGAAGTCAGGGACGATGTTGTTATATTGTTCACGGCGCATAGTCTGCCACTGAAGGTATGATTTTTATTAATTTCTATGGGGGCGTCCATAAATTACGTGAGGTGTTTATTATTGTCGGTCCCTCCCTCCCCCCTTGGTGAGATTTCGTGAGATTTTATTCAACACCCTCCCCCATCCCTCAATCTCATATGAGATTTTTCAAAATGTTGGTTTTTCACGTAAACGCGTTGGATTGTTATTGCAAAAAGATAAAAATCCATGTGCATGTACAATTAAATCTTAAGCATGTACAATCTGGAATACATGAACTATGAAGTCGGTAAAAATAGTAAAGATTTTTTAACGAAAGATTATATGAGATTTGAGTCTACCCCCTCCCCCCCTTAAACATCTCACGTAATTTATGGACGCTCCCTTAATGGTATTTTTTTAAGGGGGGAAAATCAACGAATGAATGCTCCCGCCTGCGTGAGGCGGGAGGGAGTGTCAGACTCTTACTGACTAAAAACTACCCTGTTCCTACTCCTGCACGTCGAGCCGGAGCCCCGGTTACCCGTTAGGTTCTCCGCGACTCCGTATCGGCATCAGCCCTGTTGGGCCCCATCCGTGGTGGTCTAATGGCTCCAGGCGCGCGCCGTACGCTCGGGTCTGGTTCTGGTCGGACGGTGAGCCACCCATGCTCGCCGTCCGCAGGCCCATTTTTTTTTCTATGGTATAAGGCGGTAAACGAGCAGACGGATCACCTGATGGTAAGCAATGAACGCCACACATAGACCTGGAACTCACGTAACTGCTTGACGATGTTCATCCGATTATTATGTTTTTCGGCTTACCACGTTATTATTTGACGAGGAACTCGACTAGAATATGAACTGCCTCGTTGGCCGAGTGGTCGTAAGTGCGACAGCTGGGCAAGGGGTCTCGGGTTCGATTCCCGGGTCGGGCAAAGTATTACTGGGTTTTTAAATATTCTCAGTAGTAGCATGGAGTCTGGAATTGTGCCCGGTATATGGCAATAGGCTCACCCCCTATTACATGGGACTCGTAACATAAATAGTGAAAAGTGTGTGTTACATTGTACAGTGGCATTAAGTGCCGTAATGTGCACCTCTGCCTACCCCTTCGGGGATAAAAGGCGTGATGTTATGTTATGTTTTTCGGCTTACCAGGTAATTATTTGACGAGGAACTCGACTCGAATATGAGCCTCTAGCATGGCTTGAAACTAGTCGAGTTCCTCGTCAAATAATTACTTGAGTAAACCGAAAGCATAATAATTAATCCTTACTAATATTATAAATTGGAAAGTGAGTTGGTTTGTTTGTTTGTTTGTTCCGCTTTCACGCCGTAACTACTAAACCGATTGCTTTGAATTTTGGCAGACGTAAAGTTAAAAGTCTGGATTAAATAATAGGGTACTTTTTATCCCGGAAAAATTTGATATTCCCGAGGGAAAACAAAAGGATTGGTATAGATGGCGCTGTGTGTATTGGTAATGAATGGTATATGTCACATATACTACTTTTTATCCTTTTGCGACGCGAGCGTAGCCGCGGGTAAAAAAGCTAGTTTAGTATGTATCACGACAGTTATAACATACACAGTTTTTTTTTTAATCTGAAACTGGTCTAACCGACAATGTTTCTCTCTCGCAGGCGGTGTCCCGGGGTGACACATACCCACATGAGGTGGCGGCGACGGTAGCCAACACGATGTTACATTTGAATGTTAAAAACCCGTACAGATTAGTCTGGCAGTCTAAAGTGGGACCGTTGCCATGGTTACAGCCGTATACTGATGACGCTATCAAGGTAAGGAATAGAATATATGGGTGTCTTCAAGGCCCGAGTGAATAGGTTGCTTATGGGACGTCGTGCTCCATCGTAGACCGCATCATCGTGCACCACCAGGCGAGATAGTGGTCAAACATCGACACAAAAATATTAAAAAATTATGTACCCACCGTCAGTCTTGCCGTGGGTGTCGTTAACACTTGTATAAATGCGGGTTGGAGATTTCTAAATTATAGTTAGAAATTATAAGACCAGGTTTCCACACGATGTTTTCCTTTACCGTTTGTCAGTGGTGTCTAAATGATCTTAGAAAGTACATATGACTTGGAAAACGTCATATTGGTACTTGCCATACTGGGCAATTGGCTGCCGCGCAACGTGTCGCGGGTTCGATTCCCGCATTCTTTGACGAGCAACTCTGTGTGATCCACAGATTGTTGTTACGGGTCTGGGTGTCATGTGTATGTGAACTTGTATGTTTGTAAACGCACTCACGACACCGGAGAAAATTGGGTTATGTCCAGGAAATCAAAATAAAAAATCTAATTAGTCCATCAGTTAGATAATGAAAAATTTAGATAATATTAGACACGTATTTTTTTATTTTCTCATATTAAGTTGCAATACTTAGATAAAATGGCGCTAAGTTTAGGAGTGGGAGGTCGTTACGTCATAACGTGCTACAAAATGTGACACGATGTGACGTCACACGATATTTCAAATTAATATATCGTCGAAAGTATTTAATTTTGTGAGGAATGAAAAAATACGTGTCTAATATTTCAAATTAATGTATATACCAGACGGACATTAAAATAAAATATAGTAAACTACCCTATTCTAGTGTGGGGCAACGTTTTAAAAAAACAAAATGTATGATTTTTTTATTTATATTTTTTCAGGCATACGCGAAGCAAGGCAAGAAAAATCTACTCCTAGTGCCTATTGCCTTCGTTAATGAACATATTGAGACACTGCATGAACTGGACATTGAATACTGCCATGATATAGCTAAAGAGGTAATTATTTATTACTAGCTTCTGCCCGCGACTTCGTACGCGCAATCCCATTTCCCCCCCGTTCCCGTTCGTGATTTTCGGTAAAAGTAAAACAAAAATTTTGGTCAAAAAGTATCCTATGTCGGTCTCCTGGCTCTAAGCTACCTCCCTACTACCTCTACCAATTTTCAGCCAAATCTATTCTGCCGTTCTTGAGTTATAAGTGGTGTAACTAACACGACTTTCTTTTATATATATATAGATTATACTAGCGACATACTCAATATCCATGTATTATACATATAAACCTTGTCGCGGAGAACCTAACGGGTAACCGGAGCTCCGGCTCGACGTGCAGGAGAAGGAACGGGGTGGTTTTTAGTCAGTAAGAGTCTGACACTCCCTCCCGCCTCACCCAGGCGGGAGCAGTCATTCGATGATTCCCCCCCCCCCTTAAAAATACATATAAACCTTCCTTAAGAATCACTCTAAGTGTGGGAGAGCCATGCTTCGGCATGTGTTTCGTCATGTGTCGTCATGTCATGTATTGAAAAATCAAAATATGTAATTTATTTTTGAACCAGGAAACTACCCAATTCGAACAATTAGTTTCAAAGATTATTGCGTTCAAATAATCAAACTTAGTTCAGTTTTACAATATTACGTAAAGATTTTAGTATTTTTTTTGTATCTGATAGAGCATAGATGGGATAAGTCCGCCACAACCTCCCAAAACCGCTGCAACTCCTGTAAGCCAGGATCTACAGTAGATACAACCATGAAAACACCGGAACACTGAAGTCCGGCGCGTCCCAGGGACATGAATAACTGTCTTGGTTCCCGCAACGAAGTGAATCAGAAGATATTATAAGAGGAGAAGAAAAAACGATAATTTCAACTTCCCTCTGTGAATTATTGCAGGAGACAGAATAGTTATTATAAAAACTATATATTTATTATAAATTTTATTTTTCCAGGCTGGTATAACGCACATAGAAAGAGCGGCCACACCGAATGCTCACCCCACCTTCATAGCGGCGCTAGCAGACATTGTAGTAAAACATTTAGCGGACCAAGAAAAAGTATCAAAACAATTTTTAACAAGGTATTGTATAGACTGTAGTTTATAAACTGTTTTATCTAGAATCCTTACTTCCTTACTAATAATATTATAAATCTGAAAGTGAGTTTGTTTGTTTGTTTGTTTGTTCCACCTTCACGCCGTAACTACTCAACCGATTGCTTTGAATTTTTGCAGACGTAAAGTTAGAAGTCCGGATTAAATAATAGGGTACTTTTTATCCCGGAAAAATTTATATTCCCGAGGGAAAACAAAAGTATTGGTATAGATGGCGCTGTGTGCATTGGTATATGTCACATAGGCTACTTTTTATTCTTTTGTGACGCGAGCGAAGCCGCGGGTAAAAGCTAGTAATAAATATACTATAATAAGGGGTAGGTAGATTTATGTTATGAGTTCCGTGTACTCGGTATAAATGGCAATAGGTTCACTATTACATGGGACTCCTATTACATGGGACTCATAACGTAAATAGTGAACGGGGATAAAAGGCGTGATGTTATGTATGATGTAGTGTCGAGCCATCAAGAGGGGCGTTCTCATTACGGCCAGCAAAGGCCGTAAATAAAGCTAGTTACAAGACGGCGGCGTGTAATTCGCACTTACGGATTTCAGTAATTTCAGAAAAATGAAAAATATTTACCTATTTTTTTATTGATTCGGACTCAGAATCGATAGTCGAGTTACCTCCTAGAAAATGACGCGGCTTTAAAACAACATCTTGTGTAGGTAATCCATGTTTTAATTTTTTTTCTTTTTTTCAGGTGTCCACACTGTGTTAGCGAAAGGTGTAACAGTTCAAAGCAATTCTTCAAAGAGCTCTGTGGAGGTATAACAACAGACACGAGTGATATTACAAATGAGGAGGCACCTTCACAGTCCTTAAATATTAAATAAAAACTTTTAAAATAGTTCTGACCTTTAAATGTAGATGGCGTTGGTGTTCTAAGGGCAGTTTTTATAATCTGTAGCTATACCGTTAAATTTAAATCGTTTTAATCCCTTGGAGGTTCGAACTGGTCCATGAAACACTATCGATTTGTAAAGATAAAATTAAAAAATAAAGTACTTTTTTTTAATAACTCGAATCAATTCTCGCATGAGTGAATAAATAATGCGAACCGTTAGTACAGTTATGTCGGTCCTAAGCCCGTAAAAGTATGAAGGAAAATTTGGAATCAATTTATTTGTTTACCTACGCAAACATCAGTTGATCGAGTCATATCCTTATGCTTGATTGGGTCGTGTAGGTACCTACACTGCCCGGTACGCAACGACCGACGACGACGTAGGTAACTATCTCGTGGCGCAACTTTTAGTTTCATACATTTTGCTAGTATAATCTTATCATTTGCTAATTTATTTATTTTTTATGTTACACCGCAGTACAAGCTTGTAATGAGTAGTATTCTGTTAGTTAAACCACAGGTCCGTGGGATTAAAACGACTAAAATTTAACGGTGTATAGGTTATGTGGACTGGCCGTTACGTTGATTTTTTTTGTGTATTGTCATAATAATATTTTTAGGTCGACTTCAGTTAAGTAGCTAAGTGTACAGGCTTATATTAGGCTCTTTCTTACATTTAATATCTATTTTTACGGTGCAATATTCAATCTATTTTATTCTTTACGTGCAAATAATTAAAACATGTTATCTCAAATCAAATTCTATAAATGTCTATAGACGTTACTCGCCCCCTATTACATGGGACTCGTATCTGGATGAAATGTGGGTGTTACATTGTTTATGTGCACCTTTACCTCATCGGAAAATATAAAAGAAAGCATGCGTGTTTTGCGGCGTTTTTTAACCTGGAACCCCACTATAGCCTGGTGCCCCGTTGTAGCCTGGCGCCCTGGCACTTGCCTAATTTTCCTAAGGTATAATACGGCTCTGGCAGAAGGTACTATTTAATAAATATCTCTGCCTATACTTTCGATCCGATGCGATGATGCACTCTAAAAACCAAGAAAACCTCATTAGTAATCTAAATATAATACATATTTCAATATTTTTATACTATTTGTTAGCCGTTGGTCGAGTCGTTTCAAGTGTAGTTATTAGAAATAGAATTTTAACACATTTCTTATGGAGCTTATATCAGAATGCGAGTTCGTAACCTGGCAAGCACTAATGCTACTTTTTCCGACTTATGTATACTTTCTAAGACTGTTTAGACACCACTGACAAACGGTGAAGGAAAACATCGTAAGGAAACCTGGGCTTATAATTTCTAATTATAAGATTCAAATTGCCAACCCGCATTGAGCAAGCGTGGTGATTAATGCTCAAACCTTGTCCATGTGAGAAGAGGCCTCTGGTCAGCAGTGGCCACCTATAGGCTGTTGATGATATCAAAAGTGTATATCTAGAAAACAAATCTAAATACTGAGATAAACTCATCTAACGGTCTTAATAGATAGACCGCATTTCAACTGCAAATAGGGTAGTTTTCTAAATTTTATATTAATGTCCGTCTGGTACATTAATTTAGACACGTATTTTTTCTTTTCTCACAAAATTAAATACGTTCGACGATATATTAATTTGAAATATCGTGTGACGTCACAGCGTGCCACATTTTGTAGCACATTATGACGTAACAACCTCCCACTCCTAAACTTAGCGCCATTTTATCTAAGTATTGCAACTTAATACGAGAAAATAAAAATATACACGTGTCTAATATTTTTTCATTATTTAGTTGACGGACTAAGTAGATTTTTAATCTTGATACCCTGGAAACTACCCAATTAAGTACACTGTAGTGCCATATAGTCTGAAATACATCACAAAGGAATGTCCCTCGCAAGCGGAGCGCAGGACGTCCACCCACTCCGTGGATAGATGAACTGGTAAAGGTTCGACAGTCGCTGTAAGCAGGTCGCTACCAACCTCACGGTGTGTAGTCTACGGAGGACTGGGGGAGGCAGGGAAGTACGTGGCTGATTGCATAATGATAATTCGCAATTAATTTTCATATAATACGGTGAAAAATGTAATGTAGAAAAGTGGATATGACGCGTTGAATATTAATCGCTGTTAAAAAGAATTTGTTGCTAATACGAAGAATGCTATTTATTTTAAGGTAAATTGTGGAATATGGTATGGGTAAATAAATAAACTAGTTTGTTTTATTTATTATTTTGTGTTTTATTTAAAAACCATTGCTGTCAAGCCAAGCCATGCTCAACGTCGCGGAGAACCTAACGGGTTACCGGGGCTCCGGCTCGACGTGCTAGAAACGGGATGGTTTTTAGTCAGTAAGAGTCTGACACTCCCTCCCGCCTCACCCAGGCGAGATTCGATGATTTTTCCCCTCTTAAAAAAAGCCATGCTCAACCTTCTTTTTTTACTATAGTAAAAAAGGTTTCAGTCATGCGTGAGTCGCAAACGAAAAATTATTACGTCATAAATAAAATCTAAATGATACATTCATTCATTAACTTGATAAATAAAACCACAAGCAATTATTAGCTAGTTTTTTTATCTTTTAGCTCCGATCCCCGAATCACTCGCTCTTTTATAGGCTCGAAATTTAAAATAGTACGGAACATAGGAACTTCAAGTAAACCAGTAAAAAAGGCCCGGCGACCGGGCCACATGTTGAATATAGCTGGATAAGCCCGAAGTGATCCGAATCTTTTCAAACGAACAGACTTATATTAGAGTCCCATCATCATTAGGATCACCTGATGATAAACGATCAGCACCGCCCATGGACACCTGCAACACCAGAGGAGGCACAGGTGCGTTGCCGGCCTTTTAAAAAGGAGTACGCTCTTTGTTTGAAGGTTTGAAGGTGGTATCGGTTCGAAATACCGCCGACGACTGATCATTCCACAGTTTTGTATCCTGCCAACCATCTATATGATATTATAAACTGCGACGTTCAACTCATCTGCGAAGCAAGAAGATTCGGTACCTCTTACGTAGGTATAGAGGCTGGGCGACCGACTACTGCGCATCGTATAGCACGTTCGGTTCCCACAAGGAACAACTGTGTGTGATCCACAGATTGTTGTTCCGGGTATGGACGTCATGTGTATGTGAACTTGTATGTTTGTAAACGCACCCACGATACAGGAGAAAATCTACTTCAGGGGGGGGGGACGTATTAAAGAAATTTAATCCCGGATACGCAAGTGAAGTCGCTAGTAAAAGTTAGTTTACTATAGAACAATGATGCAATAAGTTACCTACCATACATATCGCGTAGCACCTATCCTGATTAAATATTTAGCGCGCGTGTGACATATTGACCATCTTACACAACACGACGTGTTTAAACTATCAATTGTATTGAAAGCGAAAGTTATTTTGCACACTTTGACTTGCAGTTTTGTGTTAGAACAACACTTGGTTTAATCAGTGAGTAATTCGCGTTTCTGAGGTTTAATCTATGAAGGTTATTAAGAGTAGAAAGTGTTGAATAAATAAATCGTTAGTGTCATACTAGGATAGGGTAGACGACTAATTTTTATTTTAATGTCCGTCTGATAGATTTTTTAAAAACATTAGACACGTATTTGTTATTTTCTCACAGAAACGAATAGTTTCGAAGATATATTGATTTGAAATGTCGCGTGACGTCACTTCTCAGTACATTTTATACTAAGAAATGACGTTTTAGCCCCCACTCCTAAACTTTGATTCGTTTTATCTATACTCCGTCTGTTTAGGTAGTTAACTATTTGTAAACAAACCATAAAAAGAGTTCTTTATAGTTGACATTTCCATGATTCAAAATACTTCGTAAGAAAATAAAATTGTTTCCCTTTTTACGACAGTTTTCTCTATTAAATGTTATGTTTCTGTTCCTTTTCACTTATTTCTTAATAAATATTAAATATATCTGCTTGAGGATATTAATTTAATAATATTTATTAAATAATATAATATTTCATTACAATAGACACCATAAAGAGCCTAAAATCCCAGGTATCTAAAACGTTTCTTTAAGAACGAAGCAAAATAATGTTGTCAAATTAAAGAGTACAACGAAGATGTAGCGCGACAATGAAAGTAGCGTGTATTACGTTTAGTCGGTTAATCAGGCGCCATTGACAGCTCTCTCGTCGTTTGCGCTCGCGTTCCTATTTTGTTGAATTTAACTTGTTTCTTTGTTTTGTTTTTGTTATTAAGTTATTTAAGTTTAGGTTATTCATCGTTTGTAATTAATGTGTTCAAATATATTGAAGAAACTTGGCCCAAAGACAGATATCCGTACAAGAAAGAAATCCGTACATCAGATTCAGAATAGTTTCTATTTAAACATGATAATGATATAGACCCATAGGCTAGGCTCTTGTACGATTTAGGCATTTGTACTTGTATGTGTGTGTATGACAAATGAACGATTTTAAAGTGAATTTAGTTAAAATTAAAACACGAGAAATATTTGAAGTAATAGTAGGTTTAAGTATCTCTGTGTCACGTGGTTTTCTTTGTTTACCTTTAGTTAATTACCTAAACAGATGGACTATAAGTATTGTTTTATTATACGACAAAATAAAAAATACGTGTCTAATATTTTTTCATTACCTAACTTACAGACTAATAATATTTTTAATTTTCATACCCTGTCATCATCCCCATTACCGTATGTGTCATGGGTGCATTTTTATGTTAAACAAGTAGACGGACCACCTGTTGGTAAGCAATCAGCGCTGTAAGTTTTTTTTATATAAAACGTTGCCCCTCACTAGGATTATCTCCTGTGTCGTGGGTGCGTTTACAAATATATAAGTTCACATACACAATGACACCCAGACCCGAAACAACAATTTGTGGATCACACAAAGTTTTGTACGTGCGGGAATCGAACCCGCGACACGTTGCACGGCAGCCGGTTGCCCAGCCACCGCACCAACAGTGCAGTCATTGTGTGTGCACAAGTGGACACATGCAGCGCCATAGACAGAGGTGTATTACCAAGAGAGCACCCAAGGTAAATATATTATAGCCCATTGGCGCCCCTTATTCTATTTTGGCGCTGACGTCACTTAATGGGCACACGTAGGTTGCTGTGCCCCTCTGTATCCTGGTGCCCTCGACATTTCCCCAGTTTGCCCTAAGGCAATAATCCCTAAGGATAATACTGCTTTGACTATGGTAGTCACAAGACCCTTTTTTTTTTTTTAAGGGGGGAAAATCATCGTATGACTGCTCCCGCCTGGGTGAGGCGGAAGGGAGTGTCAGACTCTTACTGACTAAAAACCACCCCGTTCCTTCTCCTGCACGTCGAGCCGGAGCCCCGGTTACCCGTTAGGTTCTCCGCGACAGTCACAAGACCCTTGCCAGTCACTTAATATGAAGGGAAATTGTACAGCCGGCATGCCGTCCTTTTGATGCCTTCAATAACCTTGGCGACACACTACTCATAGGCCTTAGTACGAATTTCTTTTACTTTGAAAGTAATCGTAACGAGTACGCGTTCGGCGCTGTCATTGGCCGGCTCCAATGAACAAACCAATCAGAGCGCCGGACGCCGTCTCGTTTCGATTAATTTAAACGAAAAAGAAACTTGTACTAAGCCCATATGTTAAATGACAGCTCACGTACATAGACCATAGATTTAAACATCAACGGGTGACGTCATAAAATTCAAACTTCAAAGTCAAAATCATTTATTTCAATTAGACCAGGATGGCACTTTTGAACGTCAAACAACAAAAATTTATAAGTGAAGCTAGTTGCTCATTCCAAGGCGATTTTAGATTCCTATGGAGAAGAACGAGCAAGAAACTCCATAGGTTACTCTTTTTCAATCAGGTTTACAATACAATTCTCTAGTTACATAGTTTTATTGGTTCGATTATGTGAGAACAATGCAACACCTAAATCCAGTCAGAAAGACTGAAAAAGAAAATAACGTTGAGGATAATAAAATAAAATTATACAGTCTGGAGCTGACCAGCCCCAATCGACGGCGCCCGTTCACGAACATTTGGCGTACCCCAGCACCGCCCAACTCAACCATTTTGTAGGGAATCGAGCGATCCAATGCACGTGTCACCGCCAACGAGCAATTCTACAAAGCGCATGTGAAGTTTACATGCTTACACGGATAGAAAATCACAACGAACATCGGTTGGGCAGAACGCCTGACGCACGGACACCTCGCCTGGTCGGAGGATCCTCCTTTTCCGATTTTAGGGAACTTTACGCTCTGTTCCCTAAACTATCATAGTTGCCAGGTTAGCACAGCCGCCGGTTTTCAGTACGGTCGCGATATCACTCCGGTTGAGCCAGCACGGCACAGCAGCGTCCAAGCATAGCTCTGGGGCGGCAGTGCTTTCTGATAAACAGATTTATCACTGTGATCTGCAACACTCCAATCTCGAACAATGTTATGGAGGCTCATATTCTAGCTGTAGTCTAGAATTTTGATGGTGAATAATAGTACCTACCTTACCTATATCGTGGGAGAGCCAAGCTTCGGCACGAATGAGCCGGCTCGACCGGAGTGATACCACAGCTGAGCAGAAAACCATAATGAAATAACGCTTGCAATTGTATTTCGTCGTGTGAGTGAGGTTACTACCCACAACTATCCAATCCCAACTCCCCTCCACAATCTCAACAATCCTCTTTCTCAAAACGCCAGTAACGCACTTGTAATGCCTCTAGTGTTCCAGGTGTGTCGCGAAGAACCTAACGAGTTACCGGGGCTCCGGCTCGACGTGCAGGAGAAGGAACGGGGTGGTTTTTAGTCAGTAAGAGTTTGACACTCCCTTCCGCCTCACCCAGGCGGGGGCAGTCGTTCGATGATTTTCGCCCCTTAGAAAAAAAAGTGTTCCAGGTGTCCATGGACGACGCCGATTGCTTATCATCAGGTGATCCGGCTGCTCGTTTACCGGCTTATCCCATAAAAAAACAACAAAGACAACGAGAAACTGCTTATCTATGTGTATGATAGTATTGGTAGATATGTTACTCTCACACGAAAACAGATGTTACGCATACAGATAGACCATGACATACATTAAGTTTTTATATACTTTCTATCCTTAAAGACGGAGTATAAATCTACGATAGAGATGAGTCAGATTAGTACCTATACTTAGTTATAAGTATGTATCTAACAGGATGGTGCTTATATTAACTCGTTTTGCGGGTTGTTAGGTAACTTAGCAACGTCCCAAAGAGTATCAGACTCGGGAAAGAGTGTTAGACTCTTACAGACTAAAAACCACCCCGTTCCTTCTCCTGCACGTCGAGCCGGAGCCCCGGTAACCCGTTAGGTTCTTCGCGACTCCGAATCGGTATCGGCCCTGATGGGCCCCATCTGTTGTGGTCTGATGGCTCTTTGAGGCGCGCTCGGAACGCAACGCGCCGTACGCTCGGGTCTGTTTCTGGTCGGACGGGGAGCCACCCATGCTCGCCGTCCGCAGGCCCGCGCTTACGGTGGCCGTCCCGCGATCCCCGACGCCCGGAGTGTCCTTCGCGCACCGAGTACCTTTGAGGAGACCACAGAGGAGACGTAACGACTGTTTCGAAATGTTTCATTAAAGTTGTAGTTTATCTAATTAACGGGTAGTGTGATATTTTTTCGACTAGCTTTTGCCAGCTGTCAGAAGAAGAAACTACTTCTACTCCTCAAAACGGCTGAAGAGATCTAGATTACCGGTTAGATTATGGCCTAGACTAGAATAACACACAGGCACGAGATCGTGGACGAAGCCAGCGTGGATCATTGTATTGTATTGTATGCAAGTACCTATACGTAATACGTAAGATCAAACCACGTTTCTGCTTTACCGCAAATGAATCAATATGAATACACAAGTAGGTATATCTATTTCATGTTTTACCAGATTTTATGAAGTTTCAACTCTATATTAACAAATTGAAGGGAAATTTAACATCACACATAACCTAGCCTGGCCATTTAATAGTAATTTAACGTCCCACTCATAAATAAAACAAAAAAAGCAATGAATTCAATTTTACGACCACGATTCTGTACTGCGAAAAGTTCTTTTAGTAAATCAATTGACATATCACGCGTTATACCTGTCTCTGTCTTTTGTGCGACGTTTCTGTAAGTTAGAAAGAGATAGCGAATGGGAAGTAATATGGCCGCCCGCGATTGACATCAGCTGTTGATAATGCACCTAACTTCACTCAAATATCCACTCCATTCATTTATATTTTAGTTTCCTCGCGAATTTCAGTGAGTGAGCGCGCGTAATTACGTTCACGGAATTTTAAAATGTAAACAAACAGTTTTTTATTACTTTTAGTGAGTGAAATATCTGTTTTTGTAGCAAAAATGTACCAAAACATTGGTCTTGTGTTGTGTTTTGTGGTGTTTCTGTGCATATTTAGTGTATTTTCTGTGACTGTTAGTGAGCATCATCATGTGCATTGTACACATGAGCACCCAAAGGCTGACGAAGTGAGTAATTAAAAAGGAATAATGTTTTTTCTATATCATCTCATTGTTGCGAACTTTTAGAGGTTATGTTGAACCATAAACCACTCCCGTATACTTGTAAGTTAGTTACTGTATCCAGTCAAATCGTTTAGTCGCTTTGTTTATTGTTCGTTTCTAATAAGATAAGACAGTTTTGACGTTGTTAAGACTCGCTTCTGTTTGTAATTAATTCACATTGTTTCGTTTTCTATCGATCACACGGATAATTGTTTGGTTTCGAATTAAATTAAGACGAGAAACACGATACGATTAGTTACGTGAAACTGAAAATAAAAGTGAGAACGTCTTGTCTATTGTCTATTTTATTTGAAACTTCGAATTCGAAGTTTTAAATTTTAATTGGAATAAAGTTAAAGGTATTCAAAGTGTTCTGCCTATTTGTTTTTTTATTTTTCTAAATCAGATTTCTTACCAGTTTTATTTTATGTAAAAGTAGGTAGACTGAATAATTCAGTGAAATATTTGCGATTATCATTATTTTGCTTTTAATGTTTGTAAAAAATAAGAATAATTCTACCTACTTACTAAAAAAACATTTTTTTAGGTTACATAAATACCTAGGTACCTAGAATTTGAAAGTTTCCGTTAAAGTGCGAAATATGTATAATAAAATCTGGATACAAACATGTTTCCAGCTAATAATAGAGATAGGTACGATGTTTATTAAACCCTTATTCTAGGTAGGTATCAACCATTCGACTTTACAGCTACCTACTTGACTATTAAACCTTCCTTAAGGAAAAATAAGGAAAAACATCGACATTGAACTGTAACAAAGCAATCATCAGTATTAGTTAAGTCTATTTAATTGCGCAGTCGACATGAACGTAAATTTGTTTTCACACGAAACAACACCTACATGTAACTATACCATACTTAACTATAACTAATTATTAAAATGCCTTAAGTTTGAGAAGATAGTTTTTGCAAACACACCCCTCAATCCTCTCAATCCATGAATCCTTAACAAACCTCAAATTCCTAATCCCCAAAAGGCCGGTAACGCACTTATAACGCCTCTCGTGTTTCGGGTGTCCATAGGCGGCGCCGATTGCTTACCATCAGGTGATCCGACTGCTCGTTTACCGGCTTCATAAAAAAGTCAACCTACATGGTATTAATTGTATTCCGTCAACTTTCACACCGGCCAAGTCCCATTTGTTGTCTAAGCCATTACCTCTTTCATAGGTTTATTTTGTTATCAAATTAAGTAAATGTAGGTACTTAGGTATTAACTATTGCCATGTATAATAATAAATAGGTACCAAAGAACGGAAATAACTGGTTAGTTAGATCTGTAATTCCCCGAACGGTAAAGCCAGTGTAAAAATTCTTATTCGTATGTGGATAAGAATTAATTAGAAGATTTAGGTACCTATTTTGGATTATATAACAAAAAAAAAACCAACCGTAAGCAGTGTTTCACCAGCACTTGCTCTTGGCCTGTAGAGCTTATTAACAATCTTCTGCTAACTCTTTTTCTTCTTCGTTTCTTCATTACTGAAGATCGTGTTTGCATAGGAAATACCTACTTCTCCAATCCGTCCATGAGCTTTTGTCTTCGGCATGTATGCTGCTGCATAACGTGTCGCGGGTTCGATTCCCTCTCGGAACAACTTTTTGTGTGATCCACAAATTGTTGTTCCGGATCTGGGTGTCATGTGTATGTGAATTTGTAAACTCGTATATTTGTAAACCCAAACACAGGCGAAAATACTAGTGAGGAGCAATTTAAAAAAAAATGTGGTTTTGATTGGAACGTCCGTGATATTTTTAATTTGTTCCGACCATCGTGTTGAGGAGGTCGCTCGCTCTTTTTCCTTCTACCTTTCCCGTGAACATGTTCCTTTCCAGACTGTCAGAATCTCGACGAAACATATTATATCCATATTAGGAGATTACATTTTGTAGGAAGATTGTAGACAATCTCGTGGTGATGCGATCTAATTACTAACTAACGAAGATATCTCTCAACTTCCATAATTACTATGAAAATGCAAGATAACTAATACAACTTAGTTACTTTGCCCGATGATAAGTTCATAAAATCTACAAAATACTCTAGTTATTGTATTATATTGAATAATTCGTAAACCGCATCATCGGTTACCACCAGGCGAAATAGTTAGTAGTCAAACGTCGGCCCATCAAATAAAAAAAAAAACAAAAATGGCCTGTAGGTACGTTACTTACTACATACATTTCTATGTACACACTACCCACGTATGAGAGACAATATAATTGTTCGTAGCACGCGAAATAATGCAATTGCCATGCAATTTTATTCAAATTACGATGCCCGCGCTCGTTCACGGTACATTTGTATCGCATGTCTATAAAAACTCAAGAAATACCTTTATGTAAAACTACTTAATTTAACTATAACGCATAATATGTTATAGGTAGGTGGCATAACGCGGAATTCCTTTGCCATTAAACGTGAATGCTTAAAAAAATAAGAAACAAATATGGCCGACTGTCAAATCTTTAATGATGATTTATCTAACATCTTTTGTAATTTATAAACATGAAGGATGAAGTTTGTGTTTTGTTTTTGTACGCTAATATCTTGAAGTCGGAAGGAATTTATAATATTTAAATAATAAGTAGGTAATGATGGTACATTAAGATACGATATTTTTGCAGTAATAACGTAGGTAATATTTTATTTTATAGGCACGATTGAGCTCGCAAAATAGATTTGCCTAAATTAAATAATGTCAGTTATATATCGTGTTAATAGAATCAGCTGTACGTTTTGGGAAAACAGCGAGATCTAGGCTGTATCTTAATTGAATTTAACTAATGTTAGATTTAGGCACTGTGTTGTTTGTCTAGACTTCTAACGCGCGTCTAACTAAAAAAACATTATTTACAGTTTTTATCTTTATACAGTTACTAGCGACCCGCCCCGACTTCGCACAGGTGCAATATACATGTATTATACACATAAACTTTCCTTAAGAATCACTCTATGTATTAAAAACACCACATCAAAATCCGTTGCGTAGTTTTAAAGATCTAAGCATACGTAGGGACAGACATACGATGGGTAGCGACTTTGTTTTATACTATGTAGTGATGAAATATTGTATCCTTGACGAGTATATCAGAAGCATATATTACTGCTCCATCCAAAGGTTGTCTGTAAGAAATCGCCCTGCGCGATAAGATCGTCCATTGTACAATATTTTGTTGATATCCTATAATTGAATTGTGTGGTGTACAATATAGTGTATATAAATAAATACATTTCTTTTATAACTACCGTTGTTTTTCTTGTTGTCCACCATTGATGAGCTTACTTTTCAGAAAGCAACAAAGTTATTAGTTATTCCTAAATTCCCTACAAGATCGGCACCAACTCAAAAGAAATTCCTTTATTTTTATTCATCTTAGAATTCGGTAGTTAAAAACTGCGTTGTATTAATTACACTCACAGGTCGGGCAGTATTAGCACAGAGTCTGGAATTGTGCCCGGTATATGGTAATAGACTCACCTACTGTTACATGGGACTCATAACATAAATAGTGAAAAGTGGGTGTTACATTGTACAGTGGTTTTAAGTGCCGTAATGTACACCTCTGCCTACTCCTTCGGGGATAAAATTCATGATGTTATGATATGTTATGTGTTTTAATTACACACATTTCTGTTTGTTTGAAATACTTAGCAGAGACAAGGAAGATAAAAAAACAAGATGATTGCTCTATGCGCTGTCATAATATGTCAGCTCACATAAATGAATAAACTGTATGCGCATGCGCAACAAAAGATTGTTTATTCAACTTAATCACTGTACGAACAGCTACTCTTTGTGTTAATCGTACTATGTAAACATGTATAGTTTGCTTGGCTATACGAATATACACATTTATAACTGTATATGTTTATCAATGTCCCGTAATGTTTATAGTTAAAATGATTAATATGATAATGGTATTCGATCGCAGATGTATGTAATTAGAAGTAGGTTAAGATTATGATATTATGATATTAAAGTGTGGGAGAGCCATGCTTCGGAATGAATGGGACGGCTCGACCGGAGTGATACCACGGCCGATCAGAAAACCGACGTGAAACAACGCTTGCGTTTTGTTTTGTCGTGTGAGTGAGGTTACCGGAAGCCAAATCTCCAATCCCTGAATTCCCAATAATCTTCAAATTACTAATCCCTAAAAGGCCGGTAACGCACTTGTAACGCCTCTAGTGTTTCAGGTGTCCATGTGCGACGCCGATTGCTTACTATCAGGTGATCCGTTTCCTCGTTTAACGACTTATCCCATAAAAAAACAACATCTCCATCTCCTCTAGTAAACGGCGATACGTGTATACGCCTTTGCCAACCTAACACTAAAAAAAAAAAACAACGAAAATCACAAACTATAGAAATGTTCTCAAACAAAAATGGCGGCCTTATATCAGCTAAGTTCAATAACTTTAGACTTTTGTAATGTCAGTATCATTGCAGGTCGCTCGGAAACCGGTTCTATTGTGCATCTACCAGCCAGTTCGATTCAGTTCGTTGTACGATCATAATGCTTGCAAATACCTATATGTAGTTTTGTTGTTGTACATTCAGCCAAAGGTTTTGACCGCGTAGAATGTAAAAAGTTTTCAATTGAATGGCTTCTGAACCTGTAGGAATGTCAATATTCCCTTTCAAACGAAGTATTTTGTTTCAAATTTCCTTGTACGAACAGCTTTTTTTTTTAAATGGGGAAAATCATAGCATGTCTGCTCCCGCCTGCGTGAGGCGGGTGGTGTATGAACAGCTTAGGAGTGGTATTTTGAAAAGAATAACGATGGAGTTTCTTGCTCGTTCTTCTCCATTCTAAACTATAATTTAGAACGAGTGCCTAGCTTCACTGATAATTCTATTTAACGTTTCAAAAATGCCTAATTTTTGTTTTTTTTTTTTAAACGGGGAAAAGCATCGAATGACTGCTCCCGCCTGGGTGAGGCGGGATCTGTGTCAGACTCTTACTGACCAAAAACCACCCCGTTCCTTCTCCTGCACGTCAAGCCGGAGCCCCGGTTACCCGTTAGGTTCTCCGTGACTCCGAATCGGCATCAGCCCTAAAAAGTGCCTAATTAAAGATTAATTTTGACGTTGAATTCCCTACCTGAATCTGTGTTTCCTGAAAAATACAACTTGGGTGTCTTCAAGTACCAAGTGAATAGGTTATTCATAGGAAGGCGTGCATAGAATCATTTAATGTTACTTAACAGTTCTTAGCGATTGTATTCTTGTACCGTCTCAGAATTAGACATACGGTGAAGGAAAACATGGCGAAACCTGGACTTACCATTTATAAGTTTGAATTCGATAATCCGCATTGAGCAAGCGCGATGATTAATGCTCAAACCTTCTCCGTCTGAAAAGAGGCTTCTCCGTCAGCAGTGGGCTTAGGCTGTTAACACATTGGATGCTGTGTCGGGCAATGATGTCCGACGCTAGCGGAGGATCAGTCTTAAACAGTTTTTATCGGCAGTTAAAAGCTTAATATGATACCAACTCACCTAACGATACAATGGACGGTTACATGTAGGGTTGCCACCCGTACTTTATAATAAAGTATTGTACGTTATTTAAGGTAATTGTACTCTATACTTTATAAGAATTCGAGGTGGCGCTCCACAAGTCCGAGGCCATGTGTTTTCATGGCCGCGGGAACGCGCCACCTCCGGGTGGGTCCCAAATAATGGCGGGAGGGGTTACCATCGGCGTCGAGACGACGATGAAGTACCTGGGACTCGTCCTCGACAGTCGGTGGAACTTCGTGGAGCACTTCCGACGTTTGGCTCCAAAGTTGGCGAGGGCGGGGGCTGCGTTTAAGCGCATCCTCCCCAACCTCGGGGGGCCAAACGCCTCCTGCCGGAGGTTATACGCCGGGGTCGTGCGGTCCATGGCCCTCTACGGCGCCCCTGTTTGGGCGCCGAACTTGTTGCGGCGTCCTGCTCGGACGCTGCTCATGTCACAGAGGGTCATGGCGATCCGAATGATCCGCGGATACCGCACGATCTCCGGGGAGTCGGCGAACCTCCTTGCCGGATCACCGCCGTGGGATCTGGAGGCGAAGGTGCTCGCGCGCGTGTATCGCATGCGCGCGGAGGCACGTCGCCGGGGCGAAACTCCTCTGCCGCGCCAGATAAGTGCGTGGCGGGATGAGCTCCGGCGCGATCTCATGGCGGAATGGCAGCAACGACTGTCGCAACCGAGGGCTGGGCTCGCTGCCATTGCAGCGGTAAGACCCCTCTTTGAGGAGTGGCTTGAGAGACGCTACGGCGTCCTCACCTACCGCCTGACGCAGGTCCTCACCGGACATGGAAGTTTCGGGAGGTACCTGTGTCTGATGGGGCGGGACGAAACGCCTGGGTGTCATCACTGCGAGGACCGCCCTGAGGACACGGTGGAACACACCGTAGCGGAATGCCCTGCGTGGGCTGAGCACCGCCGTGCCCTCAGGGAAGTGATCGGCGATGGCGACCTCTCGCGTCCGGGCCTAGTGCAGGCCATGATGCGGAGCGAGGGGGACTGGGATGCCGTCTCCTCCTTTTGCGAAGCAGTCATGCTAGCTAAGGAGGAGGCGGGACGCGTGAGGCAGCGAAGCGCTGCCTCCTCGCGACCCAGCCATCGCGAAGGACACACCGGGCGTCGGGGATCGCGGGACGATCTCCGGCCACCGTAAGCGCGGGCCTGCGGACGGCGAGCATGGGTGGCTCCCCGTCCGACCAGAAACAGACCCGAGCGTACGGCGCGTCGCGTTCCGCGCGCGCCTCAAAGAGCCATCAGACCACCACAGATGGGGCCCAATAGGGCCGATGCCGATTCGGAGTCGCGGAGAACCTAACGGGTAACCGGGGCTCCGGCTCGACGTGCAGGAGAAGGAACGGGGTGGTTTTTAGTCAGTAAGAGTCTGACACTCCCTTCCGCCTCACCCAGGCGGGAGCAGTCATTCGATGATTTTCCCCCCTTAAAAAAAAAAAAAAAAAATACTTTATAAGAATAATAACGTACACGAAAATACTTTATTTTTGCAAACTTCATTTCTATTAAAGTCGTAAGTATTTTTCGGTAAACTTATCGATTCGATATCGATATTTATCGATTTATGTTGAATCGATAACTCGCCAGCGCCACTTAGACAATTTCTAGTAAAGATGCAATTGTTTAGTATTTCAATGCAATTGTTTAGTGAAGGTACTAATTTAATACAAACTGTAAAAAGCAATAAAAAATATAATACTAAATAAGAATAAATTGTACTTTATTTTTGTACTGTGTACTTTTTTTCCTACCTATAGTCGTCAATGTAATTTAAATACCAAAGAAAAAGGTGGCAACCCTAGTTACATGACACGAGTGTATCCCGGCGTCAGACAAACGGTGACACGTGTTCAAGGCACGGGTTTGAAAATGTTCCCCGAATTAGGTAACTAGTTAAGTACCACAGGATTTCTATTTATAGCTTTTTTTGATAGGAACACCCATTGTCACTTGTATTACCAGTATGACTGCCTCGTTGGCCGAGTGGTCGGCCCTCGGCTCTCGGTCTCGGGTCAGGCAAACTACTAACTAACTAAAGAAAGAAAGAAAAAACATTTATTCAGCACCAGGCACGATGCAGCATAAATAAAAAATAAAAAAGTGTCAAACAATCAAGGTGTGCAGTGGAAGTAATAAAAATATTATAGTTGAAAAATTGAAACCGAAGAATTAGAAAAGAGACGCTGACAACATCTAACTAAACTAAACTACTGGGTGTTTTTTTTTAAATCTCAGTAATAGCACGGGGTCTATTATTATAACTATCGTTTATTCTTCTCTAATAATATCTTCTAATTTATTCAAGGGATTCAAGACAGTTATTCATGTCCCTGGAACGCGGCGGACTTCAGTATTTTCATGATTGTATCTACTGTAGATCCTGGCTTACAGGAGTTGCAGCGGTTTTTGTAGATTGAGGTGGGCTTGCTCAATAAAAAAAATCAGTAACTAAGCGCAAAGAAACGCTTCGCATCCGGCCCTATGAGGCAGCGAAAAGCTGCCTCCTCGCAACCCAGCCATCGCGAAGGACACTCCGGGCATCGGTGATCGCGGGCCACCGTAAGTGCGGGCCTGCAAATGGCGAACATGGGTGGCTCGCCGCTTACTGCTTACGTTACCGGGGCTCCGGCTCGAAGTGCAGGAATAGGAACGGGGTGGTTTTTAGTCAGTAAGAGTCATGACACTCCCTCTCATCTCACCCAAGCCGGAGAAGCCATTCGATGACTTTCCCCCCTTAAGAAAGCGCAAGCGTAAGCTCGTTACTCCTTGAAGATCAAAATAAACTATTTTATTCCCATCTGAACACAAATCTGTTGCCATGAGCTTTAGAAATACCTAGTCTAGACCAAAATAGTACCTCAGAGTCCCAAGAAAGGTTCAAAATAATCCGCTTACGTTGATTTTCAAGCTGATTTGATTCTACCCACGCGGTCTTTGAAATATAGGTAAATCGAGGAGCGTAATTCAAAATAAATTTTGTTATTTTATCAAACGAGGACTCTAAGACGTATTTGTGTAAGTAAATATAGCTTTAATGTATTAAATTGGATTTTATATGGAGATATTACATAACATAGCATAACATCACGCCTTTTATCCCCGAAGTGGTAGGCAGAGGCACAGATGTGACACACTTTTCACTATTTATGAATTAGAAATAATATTAATTACGTGTTTGAGTTTGTGTGTGTTATGCCGCGTTATAAAACTAGTTAAAAGACGGCGGCGTGTAGTTCACTTACGGATATCCGTAATTTACAGAAAAATGAAAAATATTTACCTACCATTTTTTTAGTGATTTGGATATTTGGGCTTTAAAAGAACACCTTGTATAAAATTTTTAAATATGTTTTTCCGTGTCAAAAAGCATAGATATGCCTGAACGTTATAAACTGCTATCTGTCTGCCTGTCCCCCTAAACCCTCTTATATAGAGGAGGCCCATAGTAAAGCAGTGGACTGTCATGAATTGTTATCGTTATAATAATGGCAAAACAATTTGTCCATAATAGGATAGATGCCTAATTTTTATTTTATTGTCAGTTTGGTAGATTATTTTAAATCAATAGACACGTATTTTTTATTTTCTTACAGAAACAAATACTTTCCACGATATATTGAATATGAAATATATTTGAAATGTCACATGAAGTCACTTCTATGTACATTTTATACGTAGAAATGACGTTTTAGCCCCCACTCCTAAACTCTGATTCGTTTTAATATACGACAAAATAAAAAAATACGTGTCTAATATTTTTTTATTACTTAACTTACGGGCTAATTACATTTTTAATTTTCATACCCTGTCATCATTTCAATTACTTGAAAGTCATGGAACTCACAAGTATAACAGAGCTGGGAAAAGCATTTTATACGAACACATCTCTTGTCTCTTACGAAGAAAAAAGGGTACGTATCACGTATGATCGGAAATACAAAGCAGATAAATTAATATTTCCATGTATTGTCTTTGATATGCTTTATTTTGAGGCGTTACAAAGTTCGCCGAGACAGCAAAGGATAAATGGAAACACGAAACAAACGTATTTACTTGTCTTTGAAAGCGAATCTTGTCAATTTGTACAGTCCTTTTCATTTCAAACGTAAAGAAATATGTCTCCGACAAAAATCTCTTTGTAAACATTTTTGTATTTTTCCCTCCATTTTTTGACGTAACAATAAGAAAAACGAATTGATTGTCTATGAAGCGATGGCCGACGCAGACGGCTCGTCACAGACTATACAATGACAGTTGACAGTTTTGTAAAGAATGTCAACGTCAAAAAGTATTTATTACAAATTTATTATTTGATATATTTTGCGATGTTCTTTTGTTAAAAGTCTTGGGAGATATTGAATAAATATCTTATTTAAAGTTTGTTCTATTATGTCCAACTTTTAATAGTTTCGTCTGGCTGAATTATTGGTAAATGTAATAAATAATATGATGCCTGAAATCAACTTATCAAAAGACTCGTTCTACCTGTAACTTTACGAATTAAAACTGCTTCTCATATAACTAGTGAAAGAATGAAAATTGGTCCATAAGGTGATGGTGATTTCAGACTTTATGTTGTAAAGTTGTAACTACAAGATCTGCTTTCAGAGTTTGGATATTGGCAATAGTGTGGGAGAGCCATGCTTCGGCACGAATGGGCCGGCTCGACCGGAGTGATACCACGGCCTCACAGAAAACCGACGTGAAAGAACGCTTGCGTTTTTCGTTTCACGTCGTGTGAGGGAGGATACCGGAGGCCCAATTACCCTCCCCTTCCCCAATCTCCCCAATTCCTGAATACCCAACGATCCTCAAACTCCTAATTCCCCAAAAGGCCGGTAACGCACTTGTAACGCCTCTGGTGTTCCAGGTGTCCATGGGCGACGCCGATTGCTTACCATCATGTGATCCGTCTGCTCTTTTACCGGCTTACGCCAGTATTAATTACTGAGTGCATGTCTACAGCCTAAAACATATAAAAATGCGATGCGTGCGTAAAATAAGTCAGTTATGCCATAGGAAAAGCAGTTACGTAATTGACAATACTACGCATATACAATGAACGAATGAAAGAATGAGAACGAATGAGACTCGTGCGAAGATGAACTGGATTAATGTGGCACAAAAAGTATGTGATCTAATGTTATGCAATTGTCTCACTAGAACTTTGTTTATAGCAAAAAAATTATCAATAACGCTAGCTGTAGCTGATCCCTTCCTGATATATTTAAACGGGTATTTAACAGTCGAAATAAATAACGAATTTCTATCCAAAATTACTGGACCGATTTTGTTTTTTTGACGGAAATTTGATAGACGTGAAAAATCAATCTGCGTTCAAAGATTTTGTGAATTACAGCTCAAATTGATGACCTATCTTTATCCAAAATAGTTATGTTATACATATTTGACTGCACGGTCGACGCGGTGGCTGAGCAACTGGCTGCCGCGCTACGTGTCGAGGGTTCGATTCCCGCACGACACGACTTTTTGTGCGATCCACAGATTGTTGTTCCGGGTCTGGGTGTCATGTGTATGTGATATTGTATGTTTGTAAACGCACCCACGACACAGGAGAAAATCCAACTGTGGGGCAACTGACGATTAAAAAAAAAAATATTGGTCATATTATCTTAAATTCTTATCTTAATAGGTCATTCATTTCGGTCATTTCTACGTATAAAATGTACATAGAAGTGACGTCACGTGACATTTCAAATCAATATATCGTAGAAAGTATTCGTTTCTGTAAAAAAATAAAAAATGCGTGTGTAATGTTTTAAAATAATCGACCAGACGGACATTAAAGTAAAAATTAGTCATCTACCCTAATTCGGCCATTAGAAGCGCGTAAATTACGAAGCGTGGTAGCTACTCATGTCGTTTAACATCTATGGTGTTTTTTGCCCAGCGACGCCCTAAATACTTTAAATTTTAATAGGTATATAACTAGTTATACCGGTTTCTTATGTACTAGTTTGTGTTATCATATCACTCAACGTATTACATAAAATTCTTCCGTTACTACCTACCTCGAACTGCCTCGTTGGCCTAGTGGTCGCAAGTGCGACTGCGGGGCAAGAGGTCTCTAGTTCAATTCCTGGGGCGGGCAAAGTATTACTGGGTTTTTCAAAAAATCTCAGTCGCAGCACGGAGTCTGGAATTGTGCCCGGTATATGGCAATACGCTCGCCCCCTATTATACATGCGACTCATAACATAAATAGTGAAAAGTGAGTGTTACATTGTACAGTGGCATTTAGTGCCGTAATGTACACCTCTGCTTTCGGCGATAAAAGGCGTGATGTTATTTTTTTTATTTATCCATTTATTTCAGGCATCATAAGCCCATATCGAATACTATAAACTAATACATTAAAGATGTACAAATACTATACAAACATTACATAAAAAAAATTACACAATTTAGGTACTTACTTAATAACTAGGTGACACAATTAGACGGCGTCGTGTGTCGCGCAGTGTCCGGTACCCGACCTCGGAACCGTCGTCGCAAGACTACCCCTCGCGGCCAAAACTCCTCTTTCATTAAGGTAGACTTGAAGTCCACATCTTATGTGTCTTCCATTACTGTTAGACTATTCTCTGACTGTCAATTGGAACTTACGAATTGAGTTCGATCGCCTTCTCACTTGTCATTGGCCAAAACTATTCTCACAACCGAAGGTATGTATTAATAATATTTTGCCGTAATCGCAAGGCTGATTGATTGTATCACCATTCGGTCTGTAAAAAAATGCGAAGCAAATTTTGTTAATGGTACATTAATCTACGCATGTGCCGATTTCATGCATTAAGTAGTTGTTAAGTGTGGCAGAGCCATGCATCGGCACGAATGGGCCGGCTCGACCGGAGTGATTCCACGGCCTCAGAGAAAACCGACGTGAAGCAACGCTTGCGTTGTGTTTCGTCGTGTGAGTGAGGTTACCGGAGGCTCAATTATCGTCCCCTTCCCCAATCTCCCCAATTCTTGCCGGTAACGCACTTGTAACGCCTCTGGTGTTCCAGGTGTTCATGGGCGACGCCGATTGTTTACCATCAGGTGATCCGTCTGCTAGTTTACCGGCTTATGCCATAATAAAAAAATAATAAAACATAATAGAAAGCTACGCCTTTCTATTTAGGTACGTATTTAATGTAATAACCAATATTCGTCATTTATGTTATGTATCCCATGCAATAGGGGGGCGAGCCTTTTCCCGGGAACCGGCAAAAATTTCAGACACTGAGTAAGAATGGTAGATAACAGAAACTCAAACTCGCATTTATTCCATTGAAACCAGAATTTGGTACTTTTGAAACGTCAACAAATCCTTACTATCCTTACTAATATTATAAATCGGAAAGTGAGTTTGTTTGTTTGTTCCACTTTCACGCAGTAACTACTTAACCGATTGCTTTGAATTTTTGCAGACGTAAAGTTTGAACTCCGGATTAAATAATAGGGTACTTTTTAACCCGGAAAAACTTTGATATTCCCTAGGGAAAACAAAAATATTGGTATAGATGGCGCTGTGTGTATTGGTATATGTCACATAGGCTACTTTTTATCCTTTTGTGACGCGAGCGAAGCCGCGGGTAAAAGCTAGTATAAAATAAATAGTCAGTCAGTCCGTTAGTGAAGCTTGACACTCGTTCTAAAATGTAGATTCGAGTAGGGAAAACGAGCAAGAGGCCCAGTGGTCGAAAATGCGACTGCCGGGCAAGGGGTCTCAGGTTCGATTCCCAGTTGGGGTAAAGTATTACTGGGTTTGTACATAATATAATTAAAAATATTGATCAACGTAACCCTGTATGTGGTGTATTTTGTGACATGACCCAGGCATTTGATTATGTTCACTACCCTACTCTTTTAAAAAAGCTCGAAGCCTACGGGATTAGAGGCAATGTCCTTAGTCTATTAAGTTCATACCTACAAAATAATAGAAAACAAATAACTCAAATCAATAAGATTAACATAGAAACTAAGCATGATGAGATATATCGGTCTTCAGAGCGTAAAGTATTATTTGGGGTACCACAGGGTAGCGTACTAGGCCCTTTAATGTTCATTTTATATATAAATGATCTACCAAAATCTATTGACCAACCAATAACACTCTTTGCAGATGATAGTACGATTACAATTCCTTGTAAAAATATAGTTACGTACGAGAGAGATATTAACAATAGTTTAAAACAAACAGTAGACTGGCTAGATGCAAATAATTTGAAGATAAATTTAAATAAGACGAAATTTATCCAATTTAGACAACAGACTGCTAGTATAAATTTGAAAGTACAGAACAACAATAATACTATAGAAGAAGTTGAAAGTACAAAGTTTTTGGGTTTGCAAATAGATCAACAATTGAATTGGAAATCACAAGTGGATAGTTTATGTAAGAGAATAAGTAAGTCTGCATATGCATTACATAGATTATCAACTATAGTCAACAGAAATGCACTTCTTACTGCCTACTATGGAACTGTAGAATCACATTTGAGGTATGGGATTATATTTTGGGGAAACTCTACTGAAAGAGAAACCGCTTTCAAAGCACAAAAAAAGTGCTTACGAGCGATGTTTAAGCTAAAATCTACAGATAGTTGTGAACCATACTTTAAAAATTACAAAATATTGACGTTGCCTAGTTTGTATATCCTGGAAGTAGCTGTGTTTGTGAAGACAAACCCTAGTCGTTTTAATCGCATGGCCGATGTATTTCCCCGCAACAGACGCGATAATAGTCTGCTATGTAAAGAGCCAGCTAAGACAGCACTTATGCGCAAGAGTGTCTACTGCATGGCTTCAGTTATTTATAATAGGATACCTAAGGGTTGGAAGGAGCTTCCGCTACAATTATTTAAAAAAAAATTCCGAAGCTTTTTAGTGGCTAAAGCATATTATAGTTTGCCTGAGTATCTGAATGAGAAGGATTTTTTTTTTTTGTAAGTGCTTGAATTGAAGACTGTGTTCCTAATTTATGGTCTTCTTTTTTTGTTTGTGTTTTTTCTTTTTATTGGGTTGTTTGTCTTCAATTGTAACATATTATCCAATGCATTTTACTATGTATATCATTTGCATGCTTAAATGGTAAAATATGGCTGAACCTGTATTTTTATGTCACCTGTAATTGTTACCCATATTTGCAAAATAAAAGTATCTTTATCTTTATCTTTATCTTTATCTTTGTAAAAACCTCAGTAGTAGCACGGAGTCTGGAAATGTGTCCGGTATATGGCAATAGGCTCACCCCCTATTACATGGGACTCATACATAACATAAATAGTGAAAAGCGGGTGTTACATATACATTGTATATATCCGAGGGAAGTGGAAACTATAGTTTTTTCTTCTTCTCCTCTTATATAATATCTTCTGATTCACTTCGTTGCGGGAACCAAGACAGTTACTCATGTCCCTGGGACGCGCCGGACTTCAATGTTCCGGTGTTTTCATGGTTGTATCTACTGTAGATCCTGGCTTACAGTAGTTGCAGCGGTTTTGGGAGGTTGTGGCGGGCTTGTCCCACAAAAAAATACATTGTATAGTGGCATTAAGTGCCGTAATATGCACCTCTGCCTGCCATCGACGACAATCAAAGCCCCCTTACCCGGCAGTTGAACTTGCGACCACTCGGCCAACGAGACAGTCAGATGAAAATATACTTTTGTTGTATAAATCCTTACTAATATTATAAATCGGAAAGTGAGTTTGTTTGTTTGTTTGTTCCGACTTCACGCCGTAACTACTAAACCAGTTGCATTGAATTTTTGCAGACGTAAAGTTAGTAGACTGGATTAAATAATAGGGTACTTTTTATCCCGAAAAAATTTGATATTCCCGAGGGAAAACAAAAGTATTGGTATAGATGGCGCTGTATGTATTGGTATATGTCACACAGGCTACTTTTTATCCTTTTGTGACGCGAGCGAAGCCGCGGGTAAAAGCTAGTATTTACATAATTTTTGAAATAGTAGTATACGACCTTTTTGACAAAGGGCTGAGTGAGATAACGAACACGGATGACGTAATGACTCAAATTCCGGTTTTCTATCAACAAGTTCACAGTTCGTACCGTTAGAAACTAGAAATCGTTGCGTCATACGTAACTAGCTGTTCTATTTGAACTTTATATTACTTGTGTGACTTACAGCTTATTGTCGCCTATCATCAGGCGTACATTATGGTCTGAATTAAGTAGAGATGCACCGAATATTCGGTTACTATCTGGTATTCGGCTTCTATCTATTGTAATATACTATCCAGTCGGATACCAGATAGTAAACTTGGTAGATTTTATAAATTAAATCTAAATAAAAAAAGTTGTAATTGAATCTTTTTATTGTTTTAAACAATTTTAACTTTTCATAATAGTTAAAACCTGCACGGCGACCGGCGTGGCGGTACACGACACGCATATCTACGAAACTCAAAATGTAGGTATCACACTGCCGGCCGAGTATTCGGCGGCCGGATACCGAATATTCGGCTGGTGGTCAGGTCGAATATCCGGTATCCGGCCAAACAACTATTCATTGCATCTCTAGAAATAACACATACATAGGTACATAGGCTACTTTTTATCCCTGGGAACGCGGGCGAAGCTGGCAGAAGTTAGTTAGTTACTACTACTGGTCCGATTAGAAAAAAATATGTTTGTGTTCTGTAGCCCATTTAGCGAGGAAGAATATTGACTACGAAATATTACACTGCGATCAATAGAAGCTAAGCAGATACCTTAGTACCAGTATGATTTACGTTTAAAGTAATCTACACGAGTACGGCTCCAATGAACTAACCAATCGGAGCGCCGAACGCGCACTCGTAACGATTACTTCAAACGTAAGATAAATTCGTACTAAGCCCTTAGAGCCGCGAGCGATCTCCGGCCACCGTAAGCGCGGGCTTGCGGACGGCGAGCATGTGTGGCTCTCCGTCCGATCAGAATCAGACTCGAGCGTACGGCGCGTCGCGTTCCGCGCGCGCCTCAAAGAGCCATCAATCAGACCACCACAGATGGGGCCCAATAGGGCATAGGGCCGATGCCGATTCGGAGTCGCGGAGAACCTAACGGGTAACCGGGGCTCTGGCTCGACGTGCAGGAGAAGGAACGGGGTGGTTTTTAGTCAGTAAGAGCCTGACACTCCCTCCCGCCTCACCCATGCGGGAACAGTCATTCGATGATTTTTCCCCCTTAAAAAAAAAGCCTAGCTAGTACAAGATACTTGGTAAACTCGAGTTTTTTGACAATACGCCTTTATAATTAAACTGTCAAACACCAAGCGGTCACCGGTGACCGCGACCTATTGTTCTTTAATTGTGTCTATAAAACCGGTACTCGACGAGTTAAGTACAGCTTTGTTGTGAAATGAAACACATGTTATGTGTACTTAGTATGTAGTTGAGTACTCGGTCTTAAAGTTTTGTGCTCCTCCCACCCCTGTGATGACGTCATTATGTAGATTAACAAACTTAGATGAGAATTACGTATCGAGTTCATATTACTTTATAACTTGGACTGTCTTGGTGGTCGTAACTACGATAGGTGACCGTAAAGTGGAGATGTCATAATAACATGTCATTACATCACACCTTTTAACCCCGAAGGGGTAGGCAGAGGTGCACATTACGGCGTTTAACATCCACTTTTCACTATATGTTAGGTGATCCTATTGCCATAAACCGGGCACAATTCCAGGCTCCGTGCTAATACTGAGATGAATCGGACCCGAGACCCCTTGCTTGGCAGTCGCATCTGCAACCACTCGGCCAACGAGGCAGTCAGTCAAGTGGAGATGCTCGCAACAGAAACACTGTTTTTCGGTGTTTATCTTGGAAAACCACACCCACGATACCGGAGTCCGTGCTGCTATTGAGATTTTTTCGAAATACAAAGCAGAGCGGGTGATAAAACGCGGTCGTAGCTTGTATAGTTAAATAAGTAGCCCGTCCCGAAAGTACGGCGCGTCGCGTTCCGCGCGCGCCTCAAAGAGCCATCAGACACAACACGGATAGGGCTGATGACAATCCGGAGCCGTGGAAATCCTAACAGGTTGCTGGGGCTCCGGCTCGAAGTGCAGGAGAAGGAACGGGGTGGTTTTTAGTCAGTAAGAGTCTTACACTCCCTCCCGCCTCACCCAGGCGGGAGAAGT